GGGGGGGGGGGGTGTCCAAAAATCGTTCTAGGAACATACTCAATTCTTTAATTTTCATTAATTTGTTCTACATTGAGTCCGAGTCGTCCCAAATTACCGACTGAATTAACTTTTAGAATTCATTGCCTCCATAATCTATAGTGTCTGGCCGCTATATGTCACCCCAAGTATAGGTGTCGGCACATAATCTAATTTAACTATGCCTTCTAATTAAATTCGTCGAAAGGGGTCGTATTTCGCCTTACTTAGAGTAAGGACGGCCACAGTCGGAGCCGTCATGTGTTTCCTAAAAAGTACGAATGAAAGGGTCCCAGCTCTGGAGTGTCTAGACTGGTCACATGTTTTCTGAAATACCTTCGATAGCAAAATTTTTCTCTCCTTCATTTAAAATGTTTACGATGAAATGACCGAAAATTATAACAAGTAGTTAGGATTTACTCGATAGAACTGCACATTTAAACGGAAATATACTTCTCCGGTGCTATTTAGTTTGAACTACTGCCGTTTGAACTTTTGACTTTTTGAACTATTGGTCGTTTTAACTATTGCACGTGGTACCACGTGTAGTAATTCAAACGACCAATAGTTCAAACGTTCACATTATGTGCGCATTTGAACTTTTTTATTGTATATTTGAAATATTAAAAGAAATTATTAAAATGAGCCAAAAAGTAGTTCAAATGGTCAAAAAAAGTTCAAAGGAGCCCAAAAAAATAGTTCAAAAGAGCAAAAAAATAGTTCATATGAGCAAAAAAAAATAGTTCAAATGAGTAAAAAATAATTAAACTCAAGGATTTAGTTGGTCATGTGGCCGCACGCCCGGCCTCTATCCTGTACTATCCACGGCGCTCGGCCCCTAGCCCGTTCAGCTACAGCGCTAGACCCCCTAGCCTGTCCTGCCGCAGCGATCGGGCCCCTGGCCTGTTCTATCCACCGCGCTCGGCCCAGAAAGTGTCATCCCTAAAAATTTTTGAAAATTGTTGAAATGAAAGGCCTGTCCTGGCCGCAGTGCTCGGCCCCCTAGTCTGTCCTAGCCGCAGCGCTCGATCCAGAAATTGTCTTAACAATACCCTGAAAAAAAATTTTTGTTGGGTCATTTGAATTACTTATGTGCTCATTTGAACTAGTGTTTATTTAAACCATTTTTTTTCCCTCATTTTAACTAGAATTTTTTTTTCATTTGAACTATTAAATGCTTTATTTGTATATGTTTAATTTATACTATTTTTTGATCATTTATACTATATTTATGAAGATTGTTTGACCTATTTTTTAAATTTTAAGTATAAAAATTTTAAACTTCATATTTAATAGTTCAAATGAGTTAATATTGTGTTGTTTGAACTATAGGAAATGACGTCATTATCAGTAGTTAGAATGAACAATAGTTCAAACGATCAATAGTTCAAATGATCAATAGTTCAAACGGCAGTAGTTCAAATGCGGATCCACCTATTTTTTCAATCGTTTTCTCGACATTTTCATGACATTTCTTTACGCTTGTGATGAAAAAAGTTTCCAAGGCTCGGGAAAGTAAATTTCCGGTAAAGTGCAGTTCTCGTGTAGGAAATTCTCGCTATAAGTAAATATGTAGTTTTATCCCATTCTTTAAGCAACATTATTTTAACCGATACATTGAATATTGATAATTAATAAATTATGTTATTGAAAATAATATTGAAAATAAAAATCGAGAATAAAACTATCACTATAATTAGGCGTGCAGCCCCCCCCCCACACACATCAAGTAGTACATCTAAACCATCCCCTTTATTTACTTTTCTAATTCAGTTTAAAAACCTGTATGTAACCCATGGATGATTTAGAATCTATCTTGTCTTTTAAGGCTACGACACTGAGGATGATAATACCTGGGAGCCAGTTGAAAACCTTGATTGCAAGGATAAAATCGAAGAGTTCAACCGGAAGAAGAAGGTATGTTTTCCCGCATATTTTTAAATCAAAAATTGCGAATTTTTTATTTTCTTATACCTGTTATCAGTGCTTAGGATCCATTTAATTTTGATGCGGATCCGGATCCTGGATCCGCACTGGAAAAAAATGGATCCGGATCCAGGTCATTTCTTTAAGATTTACTGAATTTTTTAACAAAAAATAATTTTCAAATTATTTGTTTTATTTTTTTCGCTTATTTTTATCCTAAAACTTGATGAACCATCCAGAAGTTTAGTTTTGGGTTTTAGGAGTAAAAAAGTTATTTTTTGCAGTTTTCGGTTGATTTTTTACCCCTTGGATCCGGATCGGAGGATCCGCAAAATCTTGCGGACCCAAGCACTGCCTGTTATACTATATTTCTAACACTAAACAAAAAAAATTAAACACCCATTTATTACTAGGAGAAAGATGCAAAAGCCGAGGTAATGGGGTACCCTTCATCATATCATCATATGTTAGGACATTAATTCACCGCTAGGTGTCTTCAATGTTCGTAGAAATTCATCGCTCATTTTCATCTAAATCCGCGATTAATTACTGAACATAATTGTCAGCGATTTATGAAAGCGTTTTGAAGGGACTGTATGCGTAATTTTTAATGACCCTCCATGCATAGATGGCAACGTTGTAAAACGAAGATTGTCATCTTTGCATGGAAATTTTGCCTAATGAGTCCGAATTTAATGAACTAGGCTTTTAGGGCGCTTCGCGCCCATCTATAATATCAATTGTGAACGTGTTCTTTTCGTGTACATTTTAAAACAAAGAAAAAAAGTTCGCGGATTTGAAAAAAATCGTGGATTTAAAAAATTTTATAGAATTTTACAAAAACATAATTTTTAAGCACACATTTTTTGATTTTTACATAGATTTGAGTCGCGTCTTAAATCCACCTTTACCCGGTTTCAATTGAGCGTAGACTGAAATCTTGAAACACTGTATACGATTTTAAGTGGAACCAACCAAATTTTTTTAACTCGGCCTCAGTCCCTTGAAGTTGTATACATATCTTTTGATTAACGCTTTTCTGGCCAAAGTATATTTCAATATTAAATTTAATTGGTTTGTTAGATTAACCTTTTTAATATTTATTTGGTATTTTGGTATTAACCATAAGATGTAACAAGTTTCAATTTCATACATTTTCTGAAAAATAATTTGCGGGTACCGTAAAAAATATCAGTAATAATTATGAAATAGAAAAGGCTCCCCCCCCCCCTCCCCTTCTTATGCTTGGTTTAATTGTGAGACATAGTTTGAGGGTTTTAATTTTAATTGAAAATATTTATTAAAGAGTCAAGATGAGATTATAAAACTGCCCGGGAAACCTCTTTTCCACTTTCCACATTAAATCTTTAAAAAAATCATTTCTCTCTTGGGGGGGGGGGGGCGTTCAGAATTAGTTCCCTGGCCTCGGCTTTATTGTTAAAACCTGAACACTTAAAAAATATTTTAGTATTAAACCTTTTAAGTAAGACTGGAATCAATGAATAAAGTTGGTTTAATTGTTATATTTACTAGGAAGAGAAAGGAAAAGACGAGGTATATAGAAACACCTTATAATTGAGTATAATTTGTTATGGGAAGTTAAAATATTTTTATATAATGCATATTGTTATGCATTAAACATAGTATATTAATAATCATTTCGGGGACAATTTTCCAGGAGGGTTTGATGGTCCAAGAGTTTTTGTTGTGTTAATTTAAAAAAAACTTACATCTCAAAGCCCAGTTTTTAAAAACTAACATTTGTTCCAATTCCCGCCGCCCACCGTTAATTTTGGTTTCAAAGTCAAGTTCTAACCCTTCATTCAGTGAGTGGCATATCTAATTCACAACTGCACCTTGTACATTTTTTTTGATTCAGGATGGATGAAAGATTTTTTTATCTAAACAAGATTTTTAAAAAATTTCTTTAAAGTAAAATGTAAACATAATTTTAAGTGACCCTATATTTAGTGAGTGGTGTTTCCGATTACAACGGTACCTTAAACATCTTAATCTGATATCCTTATTTTTCTGGCTGAAATTTTTTTCATTTTCAAGTTTTAGCATCTCTTTGAAAGTTCGTGAGAATGTATGCTGCAGAGACAGTGGAGAAATTTTCATAATTTTACAATTAAAAGAGATAGAAAATCGACGATATCTCTGTCACTGTCACAGAACCTGATAAAGGGGTAAAGTGCTAATGCTAATCTTTTTTTTATTTATGGAGAGTTCTATGAAAAAATGCCTTTAAAGGGGAATTAATGAACATATAAAATCAACTACGAAAGGTCTCACTATCATTGCCATCACTTGCACTTTTCTTAGTTGTAAAAAGGTATTTCGGCATAAACAGGGATTATCTAGTCTACGCGTATTGAAAGTATACCTATCAGTACTTGGTGCATTCCATTTTGATGCGGATCAGGATTCATTTTATCAGAATTTATTCTAGTTTCACTATTTCGAGAAAAATCCTGAGTTAAAAAAAATCTTTTCGTTTAAATTTCTATTTTCCCTCTGCATGATCTGCTTGTTAAGGAGGATGGAAAGAAAGATGAGAAGAAAACAGAGAAAAGGAAATCCGAATCGGCTAAGAAAGAGGAACCCAAGGTAATGCATATTGTTAAAATATCAGCTTTGCCTTGATATTTTAATTTTTTCAATAGTCAGTCTACTCATTTTGGAATTTTATAACTAGAAAAGGAACACTCTCGTGACTCCCGAGTTCTCAATAAAAATTTTAGGCAAAACGGTCCACACAAACAGACAAATAGTGATTACAACTTCACATGTATAGTCCCGATTTCTTTTATAGTCTTGATTAAAATTAATCAATTGATTATGTTGATTGATCATTAAAACTAATTAATTGAATCTGTTGATTGATGATTAAAACTAATTAATTGATTATGTTGATTGATCATTAAAACTAACTAATTATGTTGATTAATGATTAAAACTAATTACTTGATTATGTTGATTGATTGATTAAAACTAATTAATTGAGATTGATTAAAACTAAGTAATTGATTATGTTGATTGATGACTAAAACTAATTAATTGATTTTTTGATTGATTGATTACTCCCCGAACTCCCCTAGTTGATGATTAGTTGGTAAAAAGTTAAGGGGGAGAAAAACTTCAGCTTTTCAGGAGAAGAAGAAGAAGGACAAGGATAACAAACCCCGTGGATTTGCCCGCGGACTGACAGCTGAGAGAATTATCGGCGCCACCAACGATCCCGGAGAACTTTTCTTTCTTATCAAGTGGAAAGGTGAGAAACAACCAGGGGTGTAAATTAAAATATTTTCTTTAAAAATAAATTCTTTCCTCCACCTTTGAAAATTATTTTTGTCCCTAGAAATAGGGTATCTTTACTCCACTTTATTGAATAAAATGTTTCCCTTAAAGGGTTATATTTTATCGAATTGGGAAAATTTATAAGCTTTACGTTTTAAAGGATGAAATAAGTTGCAATCTAAAGGGACAGACCGGTTATTTAAGGTAGTTGAACTGAGTATGCAGTGTTGTGGAAACCTCCACAACACTGCATACTCGTTTTAGACTTTTAAAACTTTTTAAAGATCTGTCCCTTTAAGGTCTAATTTTTCTTGTTTAACCCAGGGCATTAATAATCGTTTCCGAAAGTAGCTGTAATTTTTAAAACTATATACTGTAGAACAAATCGAGTTTATTAATTCGTTCAACTTTATGATTCCATGACGACATTTTTTATTTGTTTCTATTGAAGGATTGGTGTTAATTGGATAAAAGATAAATATTAAAGGTCATGCATTTTTGGGGATTCTCTCGAGGCCGAATTTGAAGAATTAAAACCGCGTTGCTGAAACGCCAAAAACCGGATCTAATTGAGCGCCAGCTCAAATCTCGAAACTGAATTCAATGTTAAGTGGAACCAACTATGTGTACTCGACTACCTTTTCTAATTATTTAAAGAAAATTTTTAAAATCATTTTCATATTTTTTTTAATCAATTGACAGAGTAGTGGCATATTTTTATTGTTGAATTTTGTAAACTTTATTTTTCTCCTCAACTCAGGAAACGACAACAAATTGTTATATTTTTTTTTTTTTTTACTTTTATCCTAATTCAGGAAATGGTTGCATACCACAATTTAAATATAAAAATGATTTTTATTATTTTTAATTTGATTTAATTTAGGAAACGATGAGGCTGACCTGGTTCCGGCCAAAGAGGCGAACGTTAAGATCCCTCAGATTGTTATCAAGGTATAACTTTAATATCTTCAAAAGAGACTGGCCGAAATAAACACAATTTACATTGTTTTCATTTTGATAAAATTGTTAACTTATAAGGGACTATATGCCTAATTTTAAGTGAACCCCTATGTAAAGATAACAATGTCCGATTTACAATGGTACCCTTGAACCCTACATCTACTCAACAATGTTTTAAGTGTTTAATTGTGTTAATTCCATGTTTTCCAGCATCCAGTGCTTAGGATCCATTTAATTTGTATGCAGATTCGGATCAGGATCCAGGATATTTCTTTAAAATTTACTGAATAACACAGCAAAATTTTCAATTTTTTTTTCTTATTTCTTTCACTTATTTTTATGCTAAAACTTGATGCATCATTCAGAAATCATGGAATTTTTATAATCTCAATTTTTCAATAGTTCAGATTTGGTTTCTAAGAGTAAGTTTTATTTTTTTGTACTTTTTGGTTGATATTTTGCCCCTTGGATCCGCATATTTTTGCGGATCCGGATCCAGAAAGACAAAATCTTGCGGATCCAACGGATCCGGACCGGATCCTAAGCACTGTCAACATCAGAGTCGCTTATTTTGAGAAACTACAAATGAAAATAATCACTTTCAAACATACAAACATTGATATCTTTATTAGTACTTGATCTGGCAAAGTTTATAATGGTACTGTTGTTAATTGGGCATTGCCAGCTTTGCTTAGAGTTTTACTTAACAATTACAGTCCCAGTAATGTGGAAGATATCGTCGTTTAGATGCTTGACTGTGGCATGTCAGATTCACAACATTACTCTTAACATCAGTGCTTAGGATCCGCAAGATTTTGGCTTCCTAGATCCGGATCCGCAAAAATATGCAACAGTAACAATTATAAATAATCAAATTTCACCTAGAATATTGTGAATCTAAGATAGGATTTTGCATATTTGTAAATTTCACCTAGAATATTGTGAATCTAAGATGGGATTTTACATATTGTAAATTTTGTAAATGACAACTTTTGTTTAGTTCTACGAGGAGAGACTGAACTGGTACGATACTAAGGACGACGAGGACTAAATCTTATCTCAAGAACCGTCTTCTTCAAATAATCGACTCGTCCTCAATCATCTAATCGTCCCTGAAATTTTGACGAAATTAAAGGGAGAGAAGGATAAATAATTGTAAAATTGTATTGAAATTAATATCTTCCTTAATTGCTTATATTTTTTCATCGTTAAATTGTATTTTTTTTCTGTATTGTAATTTTCGCATTTTTGACAAAAACACGTGAAGAAAGTCTGAAATCTTTTGAGGATCTGTCATTGTGAGTTTTGATATTTTTCAAAACAAATCCCTGGAAACATAATTTTTATTTTTTCCTCGTGTTTGGTAAAAACAAGTTTTGATGATTTTTCATTTTCAGATTTAATAACTCCCGAGGGTAAAGCCTCTAGAGAATGAGGAAAAATGAGATTTTGTAGAGGGAGGGGTGAAAATATGAGATAAATGAATGAGATATAGAAAACGAAGAAGTTATATCTAAATTAGGAGTTTTCAAGAGTTAGAAGAAAAATGTATTGGATTAAGAAGAAAAAAAGAGAACTACTAATGAGATACAGATAATAATGAAAGGATGATATCTAATAGAAGATTGGATTAATTTTTCAAGTGAATTATTGAGATACGAGCATGCTGGCACTAGAGCACATGAATATAGGATATATTCTGGCAGAAATATTCCTTTATTTATCTCCAGGGGATCTTCATGTTAGTCGCCAGGTGATTTGTCATATCCCACTCCCTCTTATTTTAATTCGCTACAGTCCCCTCTTCTCTTAATTTAGTTCGTTAAAGCCACACCCCTCTCTTATTTTGATTTTCTTCAGCCTGTATTTTAATATACAGGCCTCCACTCCTTTTAATATTTGATCCTAGATATATGAGTTAATTCAATCTTGGTATAATTTCCTCAGCGGTTGTAGCATATATTTCTATTTGTGTTGTAACTATTTTTTTATTTAAGTTAATTTGATCCGTTTTCATACTTCAAGTTTATAGTTTTTACAAATTTTTAAATGATAAGTATTATCTAGCTTATTCTTTCCTTTTATTTCGACTAAAAAAACCTGGCGTCATTTAATAGAACATTTACAGTTCAGTGATAAGTTTTTAACAAAAAATATCCTTGGTGTAAAAATGTCATTATTAAGGTTTGCCGGGCTTGGAATTCCTGTATAGTTGAAGACATTTGGAACAGGAAAAAGAACAGGTAAAATTTGATGTTTAAAAACATTTTTAATGTTTACGAGTTAACCCATTTTTTGAAAAATATTCTTTCCAGGGTAACATTATGCCGGGCTTCTGTTTTTCGGTGTTAAAAATCAAGTTTCAAAATACTACTATTGCTCCTGTTACATTTTGTACATTTTATGTTATAATTATCAAGTATCTGAATGGAAGACGACATTCTTGCCTTAATATTATTTTGAAGTTTAGGATTACTACATATTTAAACTTATTTAACAACATGTTTACGTTCAGCTGCAGTTGGTGTTTATAATACGTTCATATCTTGATATTGTCAAGTTTCAACCATTTCAATAACTTATAAGATTGAGTTGAACATTTAAAGGGACTGTAAACGTTATCTTAAGTGACCCCTCCCCCCTCCTGATAAGAAGGCAATTTCCGATTCATAGCGTTACCATTAAATTCTTTGTCTTGTCAACTGAATAGTAAATATGCTGTTCTTAGGAGAATATTCGAGAACAGTTTACAGAGAAGATGGTTGAAAGGAGAATGCTCAAGGTAGGGATCAGTCCCTCCTAAAATTTTCTAAAGGTTCTCTGCTTACAAAATAATTCCGTCTGCTTAAAGTTTAAAAAGTAATTTTAAGATCTTAAACCTTAAACTCATTTTGTTGCTTTTATCAAAGAATATATCATTTTATCTCATTTTCCATTTGTTACGGAAACCTCGGATTTGGAAAGGGTGGGTGTTTCAATGATTTATGATTTTTTCTATTTATGAATTCACATTTTTTCTTCCATATTTATACTTTGTGATTTTGTCCGTTTTTTTGTATCTACAGCCCACATTTTTGAGGTACCTCACATGATCACAAGGAATGGTTAGGGTGAAAAGTAAAAAATGTTGATTACAAAATTCAGTAATATTTCATTTTAAGGAATATTTACCCTGTATCTAGAAGAGAACATGACTGTGGAGTAAGACTTACTAATCAGTATTTTCTTTTACATTCTCAGGCATGCATAGAAACTGAATTTTGTAAGTTTTTATTTCGGTTAAAGCCAATGTCCTAATTTCAAATTTTTCTCAATTTACAAATTATACTTTCTTGTTATTTACTTGAGTGTACACTTGCATTGCTTATATTTACATTTTTACTTCTAACTTGTGTACACATACTTCTTTTTGAAAATCTATGTACGCTTCTTGTCTTATGAACGTTGTACAGTGTACACACTTCGTCCATTCAATTTTCTTTTCTTGTTTCTTCATCATTCTATGTTTGGATGTAGTTGTTCAAACTCAAATTCGATCCGATCTTTGCATTGTACTCTGTGAAAGATGGAGGATTAATAAACGTAAGTTAAAAATTATTTTTATTTTTTTTTCGGAAATTAATACCACGCTTATTAATGGCAAACTTTTTACAGTCGTCGTCGTAAATATCAATACATTAAAGATTACTTTCTATTTTAATTTATAATTTTTCTACTGAGCTTTCAAGCAAAGAGAAACTGTCAATTAACAGCTTCTCTTTTTTTACTTGTAAACTTATAATTTAACAAAAAGATTTTCAGAAAACAAAACTTCAATAGAAAATTATTCTTCACTGTATGATAAACCTGTTTATTATCTTAATTATTTAAATTTTTCTAATGTCCAACTTTTGAGATTATCTAGGAAACAAGACTCGAATTGAAGGATGGACACAGATTGCATGGGGTTGAGGTGACGAATTATTTTATAACAGCAAGGTATTTCTATATAAATGCTTTGTTTATCTGTTTGTATCTAATAAACCGATCAGGCCCAAATTTTGTGTGGGACCACACATGACCCCTAAGAAGGTTTCTAGATGATCAAAATTTCAAAAATTTGCGTCCAACTAAATTCGATTTTCATTAAATTTTAAAGAATCCACGTAAAAGATGGGCGCGGTCGCCCAAAGCCAAGCATATAATGCTTCAAGGCATTGTCATCGTAATTTTAAGTCACCCTCTAAAAAAAATGGCAAAGCCCGATTTACAACGGTACCCTTTAAAAATTTTATTTAATTAAAAATTTGGACGGGATTTTTGTTTTTCAAAGTTTAAAAGTATTAATTTCTAAAAGTTCCAATATGTTTTCCTGCAGTAGAAATGCGCAAATCACAATTGACATGAGATAACCCAATTGTATTTAACAGTTTTAAAATTATTAACATTGATATTTAATTTATACCTGATCAGACAAAGCTTTTAAGGGTTCTGTTGTTGATCGGACATTACCATATTTACATGAAGGGTCACTTGAAATTTATGCTTACAGTCCCTTCCATGCACATTACACAATTAAACAATTATAGGCTTACTGAGTGTATCTTTACTGTTTATGAACTTAGTACCAAAAAGTCCGTGAGGGCACCCCACCGGAATATCCGTTTGTTCCACTGGGGAGGTCCTGTGTTCACTTATTTAAATTGTGTTGCAGATATTTAGTTTAATCATAGTTCGATTTTACCTATCTCAACATGGTTGAACATCCATGTCTGAAATGTGACAAACAAGTGAAAAGAAATTGCAAGGCAGTTCAATGCAGTTTTTGTGAATACTGGGTGCATATTGAGTGTGGTGAGATTTCTGAGGTTCTTTACAAAGAAATGTGTAAGAGAGCAGACACCCATGGTCACTTTTGGGTTTGTATGTCCTGCAAATCAACAAGTTTTGTTTTCAGAAAGCAACTTGACCAGCTCACTGAAAGAATGGTAAATGTGGAGAGTAGGATACAAAAAACTGATGATAATGTGTCTAAAGTAACTGATGATGTTACCACAATGAAAGAAAAGATTGATAACCTAGAGGACTCTAGAGCTGCTGATGAAACAAGGCTTCAGAACAACCTACTGGATGAGTTGGATACAAGAGAGAACAAAAAAACTAATCTTGTCTTTCATGGTATACCTGAATCCACTAGTGACAGGGCTGAGGAAAGAAAACAAGCAGATTCTTTGGCTGTGCTTGATATTAGCAAAGCAATAAAGCTAAAGCTGAACATGGAGAGAGATGTGAAGTTTAAGACTAGATTAGGAGCAATTAGAGACAGGGATGAGTCAGCTAATCCAAGGCCTCTCCTTGTGGGATGGAATGAAGAGGAAACCAAGAAATCCATTCTCTCTAATACCAGATACCTGAAGGGTACCAAATTTGAAAAACTCAGTATAGTTCCTGACTTAACTAAACTTCAACGGGATAAAGAAGAACGGTTAAGAAAAGAAGCAGAGTCTTTGAACTCAAAACTGTCCAGAGAGGATTCTTTAAACTTCGAGTGGAGATTAGTGGGCCCCCGAGGAGCAAGACGGCTTCACAAAGCAAGAATTCGAAAACAACACCAGGCAGGAAGGAGACCACAACACAATAACTCCAGGAGCAAGAGGAAGGATCACCCTACCGATCCCGAAGAGGAACCCAGCACTCTGAATCAAGCAAAAATAACACTCCGCGTAATTTACTCTAATGTACAAAGCTTGTTTAGTAAAGTAAATGAATTAAGCTGTACAGTCACGGATTTTAGCCCAGTGTTAATTATTTTGACTGAGACATGGTTGAACAAAGATATAAATAACTCAATTATTAATTTACCTGGATATTCAATAGAATCAAGAACTGATCGGACTGATGCTACTGGAGGAAGAGGAGGAGGTATTATTGTCTATGTTAAAGATGGACCAAATATTTTAGTATCTGACCATGATGACTCTGATTTTAATCAGTATTGTTCTTTTAGTATCACAACTAATGATGATGTTTTTAACTTCATCTGTTTTTACTGATCCCCAAACTCCTCTACCATAAACAATAATCTCTTAAGTGAAGTTATTAGAAATGCAAAGAGCAACATATTCATTATTGGTGATCTCAACTATCCCAATATTGACTGGGAAACTTCTATTGGTGACAAGAAAAGTGAAACATTTTTACAAGCAGTAAATGATAAGTTTCTCAACCAGTGTATGGACTTCTCTAACCACATTAAAGGTAACATTCTTGATGTAATTCTAACTGATATTCCTAACAGCATACACAACATTGAGGATGTTGGAAGAATTGGAAACAGTGATCATGTCATGATTTTGTGTGATATAATTGTGATAAACAAATCAATATAACTGAACAAACTGTACCTGACTGGAAAAAAGCTGATATTATAGGTGCTAAGAATTTTCTTTACAGTATTAACTGGAATAACTTGTTACCAACTAATACAAGTGATGCATGGGATTATCTTAAATCTGTAATAGCTGAAATAAACCAAAGATTTATACCTGAGAAGAAAAGAAGAAACCCAAATAAACCTCCTTGGCTTAATAAGGAAATTATAAGACTACAAAGAAAGAAGGCAAGATTATGGAAAAGGTGCAAAGTGACCAAAGCTCACTTAGATCTAGATGATATAAAGTTTGCCGTAAACAACTTCAGAAGACTATCAGAAACTCTAAAAGAAATTTGGAGAAGAAAATTTCCCTTGACAATAAAAATCAACGATCTTTCAACTCCTACATAAAATCCAAAACATCTAACAGGACAACAGTAGGACCCTTTAAAAATACTGATGGAGTCCCAACAAGTGATACAGGGGAAATAACAGTAATGCTTAATGACTATTTCTCTAGTATATTCTCTGATGAAGATATAACAACTATTCCAGTGACTAGAAAACTAACAAACTCATGTCTCCCAAATATCATCTTTGAGGAAGCTAGTCTGAGAAAAAAAATAATGAAATGGAAAGTTGGTTCTGCTCCGGGTCCAGAGATCGAGATTGGAAAAAACTGTAAAACTGGCATGGGTCCGGTGCACAAGGAGCACCGGACCCATGCAATATCCAGCAGGATTAAAATCCTGCTGAATATGTTGTCACAAACCATGGAGCCGGTGCTCCTTCGCCTGGACGCACCAAATTGCAGTTTTTTCAAACCTCATAACGTCTTATTTATAACTTTATTGAGAAGGGTTTTATACACTAAAGAAAGGTTTTTTTAGAAAGGAAAAAAACGATACAGGTCCTAGCAAAATACATCAAATATTAGAAAAGTAAAATTTTAAGTTTATAATTATGTCTAGTTTGCAAATATAACTTTACTCAAATATAACTTTATTATAAAATTTTTATTTAGGATAAGAGAAAAACTCAAAACAAGGAAAACCAATTTACTGAATATGTTAATTTCGTTATTTTTTCGAGTTAAAAATATAACTCCCCACACAACAGGATGGCCATTCTAGGTATTGATGGAATCGAGTTAAATTAAGAAACTATAATCAGTTAAAAGAGATGCTTATAAAACCAAAAAAATTTTTTAAAAAAGTAGTTAACTGCAGCAAGTTGGTTTTCGTAATTGATGGAGAATGGGAGCATTTGTCAGATAGTTCACAGACTACGTCTGAGACACGCTTGGACTGAAAGATGGAGCCATTAAATGTATCCAGAAGAAATTCTGTGTCTATACATTCTTTGGAATGTATAATTTATCCAAACAAACATTCTGTGATGAAATAAGTGTACCCATGAGTTTGATTTTTAACTTATCAATGGGCGAAGGTCTTGTACCAGATTGGAGAAACGCCAATGTTACACCAATCTTTAAAAAAGGAAATAAAGGTAGCGCTGAAAACTACAGGCCAGTCTCATTAACAAGTATACCCTGCAAGCTCATGGAGTCCCTTATCAAAGATGAAATGGTTCTACACCTGGAAAAATTCAACTTGATCCAATCCTCTCAACATGGCTTTATGAAAAATAAGTCTGTAACTACTAATTTACTTGAGTTTATGGAAACTGTTACTGCAGCCGTGGACAATGGGGACTCTGTTGATATTTTATACTTAGATTTCCAGAAAGCTTTTGATAAAGTACCCAGAGAAAGACTTTTGACACAGTTAGAAGCCCATGGTTTCACGGATAACCTGCTTAAATGGATAAGAAGCTGGTTAACTGACCGGAAACAGAGGGTTGTATTGAATGGTGCATGTTCAAACTGGGCATTAGTGAAATCAGGTGTTCCCCAAGGAAGCATATTAGGTCTGCTGGGCTTTGTCATTTACATAAACCCACTGGAAGATAATATAGAAACACTAACAATTTTATCTAAATTTGCTGATGACTCAAAAGGGGCTAAAATTATCAGATCTCCTACAGATAATTCACTTATGCAGACTGCAATTGACAAACTTAGTGAGTGGGCTGATAAATGGTCCATGAAGTTTAACGTCAGCAAATGCAAGATAATGCATTTAGGCAAAAACAATCCAAAGCATCAGTATACCATGAATAATATCCCTATGATCAGTTCTACAGAGGAAAAAGATGTTGGAGTACTGGTGACTGATAATCTAAAAACCATCTAAACACTGTGCCCAGGTTGCTCAGAAGGCCAACCAAGTCTTAGGTCAAATGACAAGAGCCTTCCATTTCAGAGACCGTTTCACCTTTATCAGACTCTATAAACAATATGTTCGTTGTCATCTTGAGTTTGCATCCTGTGTCTGGAATCCATGGACGAAAGCAGATTGTGATTTTTTAGAAAGAGTTCAAATGAGAGCAGTCTGCTTTGTGTCTGGATTAAAGGGATCAACATATGAAGAAAAACTCAAGGAGCTGAATCTTCAAACACTTGAGAATAGAAGAAAAAGAGCAGACATGATTCAAACTTTTAAGATAGTCAATTGATTTGACAATGTTGACCAGAACACTTGGTTTAAATTTGTTGGTTTGAGAGAACAAGTCACAAGGTTAAATCAAGACAGTCTTAATCTTGTTAAACCTGTTGCTAAACTGGAGATAAGGAAGATTTTTTTCTCACACAGAGTTATTGACCTATGGAATGCTTTACCCTATGATGTTAAACATGCAAAAAATACAGGTCAGTTTAAACAACTGTATGATAAGAATCACTAAGAATGGAGTGGCTGCTGATTTGAGAAAAACTGAAGCTACATCTGATATATAGCAGACCACACATGAAGAAATCAAGATATTCTCAACATTCCTATTTGGAAGATGGAGAATTACTTCACAAGAACAAGAACAAGAACAAGAACAATGCACAATAAAAACGCAACGATAGAGAACGCACACATTTGTGTGACTTACATATGAAATATAAATAGATAATTACTCAATTTAGGGATATATATTTTCCTGTAATATCATCCCTCTGGCGGCCTTTTTTTTGTTAAAAAATCGATTTGCTTTCCAGAAGCTGGTTTTATTTGCCGAGGTGGGGAAATTATTTTTCGATAAAAAAACATGTAAAAGGATAAAAACATTTATTTTCCCAGAACTTCAAAAATCCCGGGGGAGTAAAATACAAATATATACCCCTAAAAAAGTGTGGGGGGGGGGGGGTAAACTTTTAAAACTGTTGTCAAAACGGGACAAATCTTAATAAATTTTTGTAGTTTCTCTGACGCGGCCTCACATGGAGATAACCATGAAACTATTCAGGTAGAAATAAATACTTTTTATTTTAGGTAACTTTGCTTTTATTTCCAGGAATAATCATAGCTTTTCGTTGCCGATGTTTCTGCATGTCTTTCTTCTTTACACAAGTAAAATAACTGGGTTTGCAGGGTACTTCGTGGCCCTATCTCTAGTTACAATTTTACCAGTTCAGCCTAACATCTTCAAGTTTCCATTTTTCTATGTAAATCGTAAAATTTATAATTTTGAGGATTTTCTGCTTAAATTGGTTGATTCTTAAAAGTGATATATGTCAACATTTTTCCACTTTGGCAGTCTAATTCCATAATCCCATCAATTGGGCTATGTGAAGTGCCACGTTTTGACGTTTTTGGGATTCATACATGTATAAGGATAATAATCAAAAAATTTCTTTTTTCATTGGTAGAAACTAGAAAAGCATGACGGTTATTATTTTTTGGTTCCGTAAAATCAAATCAAATCATGAGTGTTAGGGAAAGCTTTAGGCTCCACTCTACAGCTTGGAGTTTCAAGTCCTGACTGAGAGATGGGTTTTCAGCCTGGAATTGTTAAAGATTAAACCGTTAATGAATTAATTGTTTAAATTTGGCGGAATGATCCCAGCAACACGACCAAGTTTGAGCCAGGCAACCATTTTTAGCTCCCTTTCACTCATGTAAGGACATCTATGTGTTAAATATGGATGAGTGAGGGGGAGCCCCCCAATGGTTTGTTTTGTTACAGATATGCATTCTTAAGAATACATAGCCGGAAATGGTGTAAAATGTCAATAAATGATACATTGAAAATTAGAGTTAAATATGATTCGGACTAATGGATATAATTAAATGAACTACATAATCTTAAAAAAGTAAATAATAAATTGCAATTGATGTATTGATGTAAACTAGTGTATGTCTGTTCCTGTCCAATAAACGTTAATTAATTGTGGTATCTCTTTTTACACTAGGGAAGGTTTGCGACGGGGCGATGTTAAATTACCCATGAATGTTGTCGAGTTTTGAAATTTTCGGAAAGCTAACAAAAAAAAATATTTTTTATCGCAGGTTCTAGGAATTCCAAGTTTACAAATCATTTCAAACATTCCTGCTGCAGAGTCGCCACAGATGTTTACAGTTGCAGATTCTTACATTCTGACTTTAAGTAGGTTTATTCTAAATTTATACTGAAAGGGCGCTTTGTCCCTGTCTAGTGTCCATTCGGCTAGTTGTATGAAATATTCATTTTTTCATCTTATTTGTCAGTTTTCTTTGATCCTACAAAATCTGAAATCTATATTCTTCAATCTTCATCGAATCATTTAATTTAAATGCAGAAAAAAAATTTAATATACGGCCTCTTAAGAATATGGAAATTTGAACAATAAAGGATTATTTTGAAAAAAAAAAAGGATCAATAGGTCAGCTGGAATATGTGTTTTACGATTTTTCAAGCGGATTTGACGACTTTATTTTTAAATGTGCAGGTTTGGATAATTTTTAAGGAATTAGACGTAATTTCAGTGACTTTACATTTACAGAGGGGCACATCTGATTCATAAAGGTACCCTTTAAATTATTATTTTTAATTGTAGATTATGTTAAAAGTGATTTGCGAATTTATATTGCAAAAACTTGTAAATTATCAAAAGACTAGCTTTCTCTGAATTATTTAGATCTAGAGGTTTAAATGGTATCTCTGTGAATCAGATAGGCTGCTCTTTCAATAGAGGGCCACTTGAAGTTGTGGAGCAAGCGGGGGGTGTGTGTCCAGAAGTCCTCAATTAATAATCACCGCCACCCAAACGTGTTCTGTGGCATGCGCTGATTTAATGACTGTTTATCATGATTAGAGTTAAGATACTAAAAGGTCTGGCTGCCTCTTTACTACAAATTATCATCCCCGTTGAAAGTATTATCTAACTCCATTTAAAAGATATTTTCAAAAAACCTTTAGTGTTCAGATTTTTGTAATCACTTACTCGAGTTCAAGTATCTACAACAAAACGAATTGCATTCATAGAAAGAACAACAAATTTAGAAAAATCAGTCTGATCGCGCCCACTAATGAAAATGTAGTATAAAGTTCACTAATTATTTCTAGCGCTTGATTGCTAATTGAGGAGCAAACATGCGAAAGGGTTAAAAAGCTTAATTTTATTTCTAGCGCTTCATGTGGCATATTTATAGATTAATTTAAGAAACTGAGGAGCATTAAAGAAAGCTTTAACAATGTTTTACACCATAGGGCCATTACTAGAGGTCAAAATGATCTTATTTAAGTAATAAACGATTTAATGTTTCGTTTTTTTGTCTGATTACCAATTGAGATGGTGGAGATTACCAATTGAGGAGTGCGCATGCCGCAAAACACGTTTGGGTGGCGGTGATTACCAATTGAGGACTTCTGCATTACCCCCCATCCCTGGTGGAGCTACAGTCTCTTAAAATCAAATCTTTATTGTTCAGGTCCGTTTAAAACCAGATTAGAGCTTTCCGAGCTCACCCTTTTCAATCCAATTCTTAAATCTCAATCAAAGGCAAGTGATAACATTAGTAATTGGTCAATGTGTACTGCAGTTTGCTCGCATTTTTTCCGGAGAAATATTAACAAGCACACCTTTATGGACCTTGTAGTTATCTTTCAAATATAGTGTTGCATGGCAGATTTCGAGCTAAAATAAAGGAAGATATTGTCAATCTTTAGTGCTAATTTCAAATTTTAGTAATCTGCTAATTTTCTCTAAAAACCTGCCAAGTTTAAGGGAAAATCTATCATTTTTTCATTTTAAGCTGAGAGAAACCCAACTTGCTTAAACCCTCTCTCCAGAAAGTGTCCTCAGATTAGCTACCAATTTTAAAGCTCTTTTAAATCAATAAGTTGTCTAAAAATTACTTCGCATATTTCTTGACAAATTGAGTATATATTTATTTATTTTAAGGGGGGGGGCCACAAAACGTATTACTCTCCGGAAAATTTAAACAGTGTTTAAACATAACTTAGAATTGTCGTAGGAGGCTGATTTTTTGCATGCAAACTCAGAATTATGTATATTACGTGCATTTTTTGGTTTTGAAGGAATCTGAGCAAAAGTGCGTGCGCGCGCGCGTTTTTTGTGAAAAAATGCGACTTTTTTGACAGTAAATCAATGTTAACTTCATTAATTGCACTTGAAAATTTTTCCTGACACTCTTGAAACAAATATGCGCTAAAAAAATTCAACCC